TAAAACAATGAATTGTGTTCATATGATTATGGGTAACTAAACCCCACAACTAGGGTTGTGGGAACCATGAGCGATTAACAAAGTATGAATAGTAACTAAGCAATTCTTGAATAGTGTTGTTGCATTCATTGATAATTCTTTCGTTTAGAAGTTTTTTTAACGAGTGCATGTGTAGAACTCGCCTTGTTGCTACTTGCCGGACCAAGGAGGTAATCAACAAGAAAAGAATAATCAACATAGATTTAGTGTGATACTATCTAATAGGCTAGTGTCAATTGGTGCGAAGTAATAACTAAGCCAAACATCGATTATGATGTCTAATATGAGGTAAAGGTAAGGGTTAGTAAATTATACACACGTAGCCGGACCAAGGTGCGGGGTGAAATTCTCTAGATGCCGGACCAAGGATTTAGAGATACCTAACTTATCACTTTGCATGTAGTACACTAGGAAATGATTGCTATTACTAGGATTACTACGTTATGAGCTTGTGGGGAACACGTATACCCTAGTTATTTCTCTCATCTTGATAACAACCAAAATTGAGTTTTGATTACTGATTACTTATTAAATTCTTACAATTTGTTTCACAAAAAACCCGCCTTTTAATTACTTGTTTCTGGAAGTAATTTGACTAATCGAATATAAGTGTTAGTTAAATTAAAGTCTAAACTATTTTCCTCGTGGGATCGACCCCAACCTACAAGTTGGGTTCTTTACTTGATAACGACCGCTTATGCTTCTTTAGGGAGGTGTAATTTGAGTGTATCATGGGACATGGAGAGAAACAACTAAATTATGTCCTTGAATAAGGAGGACTCACCAACTACTAAACTATGAATGAATACTTTGATCTTAAGAATGATCACTTGTATCTACATCGCATGAAACATATAGCACATATGAGGTATGCAATAAGTACAATGAAGGTACTAATTATTTAGGCGAAAAACTAAATAACAAAATGCATAGTTTTCATATGTTTTGAGTGGAATCAGAGTGAACCTTATAATTAAACATAAATAAAAACTGAAGAACTTAGTAGTGAAAGACCATAAATATATATTTCTCAAACAAAAATGTATGTTTGAGATCATTATTTTTTAAATCATATTTTAGAGGATGTATATGTGAAAATTAAGTTATATGACATATCTATGATTATATAAGTGATAATATATGTTCGAACACATACCACACAAAGGCATAATCAAGTCATCAAGATTTTTGAATAACATAAAGTCCCCAAATTGAGAACTCATGAAACAAATCCTCAAATGATAGGGATAGTGGAGGAATCCATTTGAAATCAGTGAAAACCACTTACAAAATCATTTCTTTCATTTTCAAGATGTTTCAAAAATCAACTAAAGCCCTTAAATCGGGCATCTCAATGTCAAATATAAATATAATCCACACAGACCCTCACTCGGGCAATTACTCAAATATCACAGATTTTTAACACAATTAATGGTATCGCACAAGCCTCCACACAGACTAAGCATCACAAATAGGCATCACACGAACAACACAAGAAGGCCAACACTTACCAACAGCTAAAACTCATACTACAAATCATTTCACAGTTGACTTCCTAAGAAAGATCATGTCACTCCCCGAGGCTACCCCTTGACGTAACATGGGACCTAGGATCACGAGTGACCCCAATCTAACCCTGAAGTTGGCATATCATAAGCATACTGAAAGATATCTTGTGAAAACATGAACTAATGCGGAAGCTAAATCAATTGATAACTGGAAGTGATGAATACCCAAAACTGAGCTGAATATATAAAATGTACTACGAGTTTAATGATACTGAACAGTCACTCAAAGCTAAAGCTTAATCTAATACTATGTCTAAAAAGCCTCTACTGACTAGAGTTGCTGGGACATGCCCCCAGCTAACTCTAGCAAAGCTGAAAACTGAAAACTGAAATGAAAGACTGAATCTGAAAAACATGTTTATTGTCCTCTAAGTATGAGGACTCACCAGTGAAGCTGTTGAATACGGATCGAGAACTAATCTAGATGCTGAATACCTGAACCTACATCATGAAAGGATGTAGCGCAGAGTATGCGTCAGTACTTGGAATGTACTAAGCATGCAGGATATAGAATATAGCTGAACAAATATATAAGCTGAGCAAAGCATAAATGAGCAATGATATAATCTGAACAAAATGTACATGCTAAAATATAACTGAAAGCTCAGCTAAATGCACTGACCAAGTACTAATCATGAACAAAACATGTTGAGACTGAATATTGAGGTATAAACTGAAAACCTGGACAAATGCACTAGAGTCTGACTGTGGGAGCTACTATTAACCGACATAAAACCAAGTGAGCTAAACGCAGAGTCCGATGTATACACCCCATCGAGAGAACCCAATATACCTTGCCAGGGGTATAAAGGCATGACTGGTGTGATCACTAAATCTGATGCCCATAAAGGGGACTTATAAACCTACGGGGGCACGTAGTTTTAGGACTATGAGGGTACGCTGAACCCTAGTCCAACTTGGTGCCAAGCCTACTCCCAACTGGAAATGTGTATGACACAAGATAACTAAAATATTGGATAGCTCAATGTTCTGACATGCAAATCTGAAAATGCAATATTTAGGAACTGACAATGTAACATTCGAAAAATGGAGCATATTTATCTATTTAACAGACCTAGCAAGTTTAATTCATGAACTAAGAGAATCTTCACAACTAGGGTTCAGAGTTTTATGCAAGGAACTAAGCAAACTTTCCAAGAAAACATGATAATTTGGTTACGAATACTACAACAACTAAATCACAAAAATTATCCATGGTTTTAGAAACCCTAAGTCTAAACAAGATATAGAGAATCAAGAATCTGACTGAGTTTTAGGGACCTAGTGGATGAAAGGAACCCACTAGTGAAATCCCACATACCTGGTGATGAAATCTACGGAGAAATCCTTCAATTTTGGGGTTGAAACTTGAAGAAAACCTTCTGCTAGTTCTTGAGAGATTTTCACTTCTTTCTTCTCCTTTTTGCTCAAAGTTTGATGATTTTGGGAGAATAATCGTTCTGGGTAAGTTCTGACTAAATTACTAGGACTAAACTAAGTAAAACGACGTAGTTTAAGGGTTAAATGACGTAGTTTAATTGTCCAACACATAGGAAAAAAGACCAAAACAACGTTAACTTAAAATCTGATGACGCCGACCACAGCGCCACTAACGGTCCGTCGTTGGGACCACGGCCCGTCAAGTGGGTCGTGGTTGTTGGCCAGTGTCTACTGGTTCAAGGAGGTGACCATTCACGAGCCCTACCACGACCCGTGTGAGGGACCACAGATCATGAAGGCCACTTTGGTTCTTCACTTGGGCTTGGGTCTGCTGGCTCAAGTTCACGGATGCAACAACGGCCCGTCATCAAGACTACGGACCGTGAAGGGCTCCGGTCTGATGCCTGAGCCTGGGTGGTTTCTGCCCTTCCTCTACGAGCCCTCCCACGGCTCATGTGGTGTTCCACGTCTCGTGAAGAGATCTGTGGTCCACCACTTCTGGGTGGGTGTGAACCACGATATGGGTTACGGACCATGGTCCTGATCACGGCCCGTGAACCCCTCTGTGGTTCACTTGTTTCTGCTGAAAAGTCCAAGTTTGTTTTTCTGAGGTGTTACAAATCACTTACTCATCTAAGTTTAAAATAGGAATAGCCAAACCTACCTCGAAGGCCAAAATTTCAGTTGAGCAACTGTATCGGAGCACTCTCTCAACCACACGATCACCGAAAGGATTCTCAACTATTAAGAATGGATAGAGTTCATCAAAAGGCCCCTAATGATACTCATATTGATAGGATTAGAAATCGAGGGTAAAATAGTCCAAAAATTACAACGGGAATTGAAAGGCTACAAATAATTTTTTAGTTGAAAATCAAGTTCTACAAGTCAAGATGAGTTTGTGGTTGAAAATCCATTAAAACTAGCAAGAATCAAGCTCTAAATCAAGAATTTACTAATTTTCTAACTTTGGGAGAAAACCCCCAAAAATCCACATTGAATTCAAGATTTAATAGAGTTTTGGAAGATAAAACTTAAAGGAATTGATAAAGAATAGATAAAGGCACTTACCAAAATGATTAACCTCAAGAAACCCCACTAAAATCTCCTCTCCTAAGCTCCCAAACGAGTGAAAAATGGGATGAATTCCCAAATATATACTGTCAGGTCTGAAAAATGAGGTCCACAAACACGGGATAGGTGCCACAAATGCGGCCCACTTGGCTGTCAAACATTCACGAATGCAGGAACAATGTCACATTCGCGGAGCACTGTTCACCCACGAACGCGCCCCAACCCTCCGCGATCGCGGTGCCTCAGTCGCCCACCCTTTTTGAACGCTCTAGGGGACTCGCTAATGCGGTCCCATTGCACCTGATTTCAGAAAATATGAAAAACAAGGATCAAAGTCTCCGATCGGAACCTCGAAAATTGTTCGAAGTTCGATAAAAATAAATTGGACATGCTACCTAACTAAATTCGACATTCTAGACTCAATGGAATCGTTCAATTTTCAAATGGAGGTCAAATGATGGCAATATCCTTCCGGACCACTCTTATAGCTTAAAACTCAACTTCTAGCCCAAACGCCCAAACCTCAACCTAAGGCCTCGGAAACATGAACAACCAGCTTACTAGCTCAAACTTGACGTTGCGGACGCAATAAAACTGGCGGAATTCCCATCCGACGCTCGGAACTCAATATGTTGACCAAAGTCAACCATATCATGAATTCTCAACTCAAGAGGGGTCAAATCACCAAAAACTTATCCGATCGCATTGGGGACCATACCAACCATTTCCGGAACACAAACTACGCATGAAAATGCTAAGGGGAAGGGAAAAATGGTCATTTCATAATTAAAAATAAATTCACAAGAAATAGGACATTACATTGATGCTACATTTTAAAATGTGAGCAATCCTGAATAATGAAAATGGAGATAAGAGATATAGAAGGAAAAATATGATTATTGTCTTATTCAAATGTTCTACCATTACATATAATACATCTATATATATTGAAATATATCAAGAAAAAGTTACATCACACAAACTTGAGGTTGTAATTGAATAAAAGAAAAAAATGAAACTTGACGATGTGGAGATTTAAATGAAAGTACTATATTGACACACTATTAGGTATTCCTTTGCCTGTGAGTCCTTGTTCACTTGTAGGGAAGAGCAATGTATATGGAACGTTAACAGGCCCTGACCTATTTTTCCATTTCTTATCACCATTCATCTGTATAATTTGATCCTCGATCTCACTTAACTTCTTCCCAAATCTCTCAAAAGCAGCAATGGGTTCTTGATCCTTTGTCCATTCGGATGAGTCCCGTTGTCCAAGGTAAATCTCATCTGATGCATGCCTTGATAATATCTCTATGAGAGAAATTCCTAGTAATGTCTGCAGTTGAGGAGTGATTGTTTTCAAGTATGCCTTGTCAGGATTTGTCTTGAGTTCTTCATACTCAGGAGTTCCTGGCTCAGGCATGAATCTTCGACTTAACGTTGGGCGATTTGGGAGGTAACCTGCATAAGGGTATTGCCCAAAATTGACTGCTGCATGAAGTGCTGATGCTATCCAAATAATAATAGTGCAAGAATCTTTTAGCTCTTGGCGAGTTTGCATTTTAGGCCACCAAGGTTCATCTTTCTTGTCACCATGTCCTTCTTCTCGAAGTTCCTTCCACCACGCTTGGAGTTCATTATCTTTCAAAACTAATTCATCTGATTTATAATAGAAGTTGCAATATTCGGTTACCCAACTTTTGATTGCTGACCATATTTCTAAGCCATCAACAGCATATGGATAGTCTTGAATTAGCAAGCGAACACCATGTGGGGAACTAGAGTCCTCTACGGCCACTCCCCTAAAATCAAATGATATTATAGTTCATATTAGCAAAATCAAAATACCCGGAAATTAAACTTCATCAACAACCATATTTTTCTAGTAAAGTTCGTTCTAAATTTATAATGTATACCTCTTTATAAGATCAGCTGGAAGTGCTTGTTCAGGAAAAACCCAACTTTTGTAAACTACAGCTGACATTTCCATCGCATATTTGGCAGGAAAAACTGTCATCTCAAGAACTCCACCAGCATTGATTAAGATCTGTCTTGCCAAAGCATTTATGTTCATCGTGTCACGAAAATGAGGATGTAAAAGCTTATGAATTGGGTGAAGCACACTTAGTTGCCTGTTTGTAGCAATCACAAAAGGCTCAATGGCTGCGTGTGTATTCAACCTGAGAAAATGAGACACACATATTAGTTCAATATGATTTGACAAAGTACTGAAGTTGTAATTGTGACTCATAATTCCTTTAGAGAAGTCTAAAAATAGAATTTTACCAGTGACTAATTAGCTGATGGACACCCGAGTCATTCACTGCAACATAAGCTTTAGCCAATTGCCATATTGAACCTTCAACACCTTGATCAGCTGGGGTATAGACTTTGCTAACAGCACCAAGTTCATCGCCATCTGGATGTGGCAAGCTTAGTTCAATTGCTACCGGCTTCATTGTTCCATCGTCTTGCAAGAATAGCAAAGTTCTTGAGGCGTAGAGTTTTGTGTTTGTCGTGTTTATTCTCCTCACATATGGCATAAGGATGTCATGGTGGTTTAGTATATAAAGCCTGTTAGTCTTGATTGCCTGTAAATAACATTGGTAATCGAGTTATTACTCAGGGCTTATGAATGAAATCTACTCCTACTCAAAGTGTTTAAGCAAAATAATCTGAAGACAGAGATAAATGAATTACATCATCGATCGTTAGCCCATCAAGTGTATTCTCTATATGCTCTTTGGTTATTGTACTGTTTTGATTGCCATATACTTCAGAATCTAACTGGCTTTTTGGAGGGAATTCCTATAGATAAAAAAAAAACATAAGACAATATGTTATAAGCACGGAACGAAAAGGTGAAGTAGAAACAAAGTTAATAACTCCTCTTTCCGAAACACAAGTCTGTGATATATATGTGATCGCAATGAAGCCAACTTACTTGGAGTCTGCTGATTATGACAGGATTTACTCCGGCAAGCATTTCTCTTGCAAATTCTTCATCAGTCCTCCATGAACTTTTATCCTCTGAAAAAAAATATTCCATAAATCACACGTAACAACAAACATCTAGGATAATACAACAATGGTAATAGGTACGTCGTCTCAGGAAGTAATTATGAATACCTTGAATAACTTGAGGTGCTGGGAATTTGAATTTTCCTTCACCATCGGTTCGGATAATTTCTTTTAGAATCTCTAGAGGAATACTATCAGTGAGGGCTTTAAGAAAAGGGCCTTGGGGCAATTTGATTCCTCCTTCATAAAGTTTCAGTACATCCTCAAAGCTGTCAAACTCATCAGGTGTGCTATCAAAGAGAGCTTGAAACTCGGGGATAAGGAACTGAACAATGGATTTCAAAGCATACGTCAGGAAGTCCGACAACTTAATGTGTCCAAAACGCTCGTCTCTTGGTACATAGATGTCTAAACTCATAAGTAGTGGAATCCTACTTTCACTTTTAGGATCTGTTTAAAATTTAAAACACGATATATGTCAGCTGAAGTTGCTTTCTTCAAAATCAACATGATAAATGATTCTGACGATAATAAATATAATATAACCTGCTTTTGTTGGCTTTCTGCCAGTTCTTCCTCTCCGAGGGTACGGGTACTCAGCAGATCCTCCGAGGATAGTCCTGGCATACTGTTTGCCTTTTTCTGGATCACCCAAGTCATTGTATAACGCGTAGTCATAAACTCTGTCCCATTCCTCAAGCTTTCCATTTCCATTTCCTCTCAAGTTCACTAATTCTTTTTCTCTGTAATTGCGCAATGGTTCTGGTGTTTCACCGGGAAGATATGCCTGCATTAATAATCAAAATTCTTCTTACTAAACAATTTCTCTTTTAATTAATCATATGCTCAAATAAATCATATATGTAATGCCGGATATATACCTGATTAGCAAAGAAAATGCGTTCTGATTTGTATTTTTTAGCAGGATAAACCCAAGAATTGCAGACAAAATGAACGTTGCCATGATTAGGAACATCTTCAAGGGTGAGTGACTTGAGATAAAACTCATTGAAGTGGAAATTATTGATAATAAATGCCCCTGGTACGCCAATATCTTCGTCCCAATCAAACGTGACGTCAAAGGCTGATTCACCTGCTACTAATGAGGTTCCTGTAGTGAGCCACTTCTCCAAGTAAGCTGGATTGCTACGTTTCCCTTGTAAACTGTTTCCTGTTAAATCGATCAGATTCACTAAATATTAAATTTCCATCTATAGTTAGTTCCATTAATATGAATATCTCACAAGGTTAATCAACTAGATAGCAAACTCATTCAACTATCAATTTAGGATAAAACACCCTTCAAACCTTTAACCTTTTATAAATAAATTCAACATCTATTGACAATCAGTTTAATCGTTTCAGAAAGAAGGAAAGTAAATTGTCAGTACAAGTGAACGTCTACGAGAAAAAAAGTTAGTCGTAAAGTTTCGTTCTTCGTTTTGTGGTCAACCCTATCTTTTGATGGCTAAATTTGGATTAATGTCACTATAGGTTTTAGAGACATTTTCAAAGAATGTCAATTGCCTCTAGAAAAACCGCAATTAAATAATTGCAAAGATCATTTTTGTGGCGTAGTGACAAGATCGAATTTGACTCACAATTTACATAATAGTCGTTTTATTTTGAGATATTTTAAAATGTTTGAGATGATTCTATTTTAGTACTCCACTTTCACAACATTTTAGGAATTAATATTGATGGACCTATCTATATATAGTTTAAAACAAGGGAAGCTAAAGAAGTAATTACCAGGATCAGCATGAACAACGCTGATCAACTGCAAAGAGACTCTTTTCCCAAGGAACTCAAGTACTCCATCAAGAAGAGAGGCATTGACATCATTAAAGTCCAGTACATTCTTCTTCATCAACACAACTGTTCCTTTCACCTTTTTTCCATTGTCCTCACTTCTCCCAGAGATAGCCTCCACTATTTTTTCCAGTAACATGATGATATATTATCTTCTTAACAGAAAGAGTGAAAAACAATACCTTATAATATAACACTTTCGATCTCTAAGTTTTTCAAACAAATAAATAAACAATCGAGAAAGATGAGTTTTGTTATGTGAAGTTACAATGGGACGAGTCGGTATTTATAGCCGGCAGCATCTGCTTGTCAAAATATATTACTTTGTCTATTTCGCTCCAATTTACGTGGCACGACAAATTTTAAGAGTTAATTGAGTTGTTTTTTCTTGACCAAATTTCGTTGTTGAAATATTTCAGTTGATAATCAAATATGATTTATACCACTTTCCAAAAATGTAAATTTTATTACAAAATTTTCATATCCGAATTTACAATTAATATTTAGCATAAATAAATGTGGACAAAAGAAAATATATTAGAAAAAAGATAAAAGAAAGCCAATATATATTTATGAAAGAATTAAACTTGAATACTACTAAATTAAACATTGAACGTAAGATTCTTGGCTAACTTTTACTGATCTTATCTTAAAAAATATATTTAGTAATATTTTGTTGAAGCAGCCCCTATTGGTCGTTTGTGTCCCACAGGCAATCAAGTGGACTGAAATCTAATGCGAATTTTTCCTGGAATTTCTGCATTAGTCCATTTTGGAAAATATTAAACTTGAATTCGTCCTTTCAGTTTAGCCGCCAGCTGGTAGGTATATGACGCAGTTCAAAGCAATTATAAATATTTTAGAATATGGATTTGAACATATATAAAAAAAATTAAAAATGGAATAACTCAAATATGTTATCTATCTTTGAGAAAAAAAAGACTCATTTATGTCATCGGTTAAAAGTTTGTTTCATCTACATTATTTCGATATGAGAAAGGTTCATCCATGTCATTATTTATTAACTGATAAATAGTTCTGATTTTGCAAAACCATTTTTTACACGTGGTCAATTATGATCCGGCCATGCCATTAATTAAATAATTTTTTAAAGAAAAAAGATTCAAAATGTCATCCATTTTTGAGAAAAAGGTTAATCTATGTCATTTATTAAAAGTTTGGTTCATCTTATATCATTTAGTTAACAAATAATGACATCAATGAGCATTTTCTTAAAAAAAAGTGACATAAATAAGCTAAATTTTTAACAAATAATATAAATAAGTCTTTTTTCAAAGTTCAACGATGAGCTATTTCCTTATAAAAAAACAGCAAAAAAACTAATAAAAAAAAGTTAAGTTTGACGTGTCACGCGTGGTGTTGGGATATGGATTTAGAATGATGACGTGTTTGGGATATTGAGTCTTGGGTCAACTTCTGTTTGGTAATTAGATTACCCCAGTTTGACTGACTTTTTAATTATAATGATAAAATAATAGTTTAAAATTTCTAATGATACGTTCATTAGCTTGTTAGATTAAAGTAGGCTTACTTTTCTCTTGTCAATTGGCATAGTCTTCTAAAAGTTTGCTTGATTTTATTTCTCGGATGTTTCTCCCTTAGGAAAGTACCAACTTTCACCTTCGTCTACTTTGATTGAAGAAGTCATCTTTCTAATCTTTTTATCATATTCACGTACACTTTCAATTAGGTTACCAATAAAATGGCTCATGCACTCCAATCTTAATTTATTTATTTGAAAACTAAAAGAAATCCTACTAAGAAAAAATAGTTGATAATGATGGATAAATAAATTTTAACTATCCCTTAATCATTTGTTTATTTAGCAAGTTTGAAATAACTTATCACACCATTAATAGTTAGTACTGAAATAAGTTATATTTATCTCTAATTGGATACCTTATTTCGGATAAAATAGTGGAAATGACAAAAGTATTCTCTCAAATCTGTTTATACCTTACTTTTCACGTCATTTATACTTATGAAGGGTATTTCTATAAACAAACAATGTATTCTTAGCAATTAAGCAACACATATTACATTTAATACAACAAACCAAACATTCACTAAGAAATAATACAAACAATTAATTTCAAAATAGCTAATAATCTCATCATAACTAATCACGCTATAATTTGTCTTCAAACCAAACGACCCCTCGAACCAGAACAATGTCACAACCCAAAAACTCGAGTCATGATGGCACCTACTAGAACTCACCAATAGATAAGTCAATTTGTAACTCGAAACAACAAGTAATATGCATACAAGGTAGAAATAATAAATAACATGAGATACAATTATAATATAAAGGAAACAGTGGGAGATAAGTTAGAATCCAACATATATACAATAAAAGATATAATCCGAGTACGGAGCTACTATAAAAGAATACAAGTCCCAAAAGTTGGCAAAAAATATACATACTTGTCTCAAAATGGAAAAGACTAGTCAAACTAATTAGAAGAAGACATGAACAATCCAAAACGTCATAAGCTCACCCTTGTCTTCGAGTTCTGCTGCAACCGGCTCGATATCAGCGCCGATGATCGGTACTCAGACCTGCATCACGAAAACAAATGCAAAGCGTAGTATGAGTACAAAAACAACAAATACTTAGTAGGCATCGTAGGCCGACTGAGCTTGAAAAGTAAAGACAATATGAAAAGCAAGAATCTAATACTACAGAGGTGTATTGAACGGAAATCTAACAAGAATGCACACGAGTCTAGATAAGAATGGAATGAAAGCAAGTAACTAACTATAACCTAATTGGACCCTATAAGTCATAATGTACACTTGTGTACACGTTTAAGTAAATAACTACTAAATTTTTTAAGATATAGGAGAGTGGCTGTAATGACCCTCTTGGTCATTTCTGTGTCTTGCCTTCTGTGTGTCGTTTAGAGCGTTCTTATAGCGACCCCAAGTCATTTATGACTTGCTGGGACTGACAGTTCGGTCACCTGGTCGTTCGTTTGGTCTTGGTGCGAGTTTTTGTGTTTTGGAGCTTATGAACCTTGAACGATCATTTTAGATCAAAAGTTCAAGAAGATGACATCAGAATCCAATTCTAATGATTCCATCAGCTCCGG